GATTAGAGGAATGTAAATTAAAACAGCTTTGAGATATCATTTCACACCTATCAGATTGGCTAAAAGGATAGAATAATTTTGAACAACTAAGCTATTGTGTTATAAATATTCAAATCAACTGTAAAGGACCATAAAGTAAGATACTATCAACCTCCAGAGAAAGAACTGATAAATAAAAGCATTCATAATATAGTTTTACATATATATGTATATGAGTATATATGTATACATATATGTGAATATTACATGTGTGTCAAATGGTGGACTTCTCTATTGCAGGGTGGGGAGAAAGGGAAGGAGACAGCTTGGAACTTAAATGTAACAAATAGATAATTAAGATAACAGAAGAGATTAGCAAAAGCTATGTGATCAGCTACATTTAGACCTAGTCCCATCATTTTACTATTTGTTTAGATCTTCACAGTTTGTAATAGTTTTATCTCATTTTGAAGTCTTTGAAGCTGTTATGATCTTATATCGAAAATATACTTTTGACTTTTTTTCTCTTTCTGTTTAATTAACAATCTGCTCTTGATTTGTGCTTTAATGCACATCTTGTTAGTATGAAGTATGTGTGTATATATACACATACATACGCACACACACATATATATATTTCTTATACAACCTTTTAGATAACCAAACCTTAGCATTTATCACAATGCCTTCACGTAAGAGGTGATTAATAAATACTTGTTTCTTTATCGTTGATGAGAGAGGACCACCGAGATGAACTTGGGGCAATGCACTTAACATCTCTAGGTCTCATTTTCCTCAACTGCTAGAAGAGGAATTTGAGTTAGTTGACCTTGGAGATCCCTTCCAGCTCTAATTATGATCCAGCCTTCTATTGCATCAGGGGATAGGGCTCATTCAACTGATACACGCATTACACAGTATTTTGTAACTCTAGGGAGAGTTTTCTGTCACACATCCTGGAGGACAAGGAAGCAAGAAAGGTGGAAGAAACTTTCTCAAATTTAATTGATAAGGTATCTCCATCCCTCCCTCCCTCCTCCCCCAGACTCCCAAAAGAGAAGACACAAAGGACCACCCAGGGTTTGCTGTATCATCTCTAGTGTCAATCAGTTCACCTTTTAATTTGTGTCTCTAGAAGCTGTCAGGAAAGCTCAGTGCACTCTGTTGGTCCATTTCCACACATACTCCAAGGCATAGCAACCCTGATTATACACACATTAAAAAAAAGTTAAAGAAAACTACAAGGTTGTTTTTTTGTTTGGTTGGTTAGTTGTGTGTGTGTGTGTGTGTGTGTGTGTGTTTTTAAACTACTACTACCAACCTGCAAGATTATAGTACCACGGATCTTCTGAAGGATTACGTAATAAGACAATAAGTGATGTGCCTTCAGAAGAAAGAGAGAACAAGCTGGGCCTGAGTGGTCAGTGAAATATTCCATAACTCTATCTCCTTCCCTTCTGTCTTTGCAAATATTAAGTTAGAATCGTGCAGCCACGTTTTGTTCACGCTTCTGGGGTTTTCAACTTTGGTAAGATGTTGTGGACTGGGGTTCCTATTCTATAATCCCTGTATATTCTTTTTTATTTCTTTCTCTGTCCCTGTTTCTGTACTTAAAATCACCTCGACGTCACCCTTCCCCACCCCTTCTCCCTTTCCTGGCTCCAGTCTCGAAGGGAGAGGTGGTCCTTCTTGCAAGTACCAATTGCTCGGCTCCCGCCTTGGATCCCTTGCCTTAACTTGTTCCCCTCCGGATCTTTTTACTTTTCAATCTCTTTTTATCCACTGATTCCTTCCCTACTTTAAGGTAACTTAAGGATAGAACTGCGGAGGGCGGGGGCGTCAGGCTGGACTCAAACCCTGGAATAATCATTCTGCGGGTCAGAGAGAGGGAGCGAAATAAAGCACAGCGTACTTCCTACGAGCGGATGCTATTCCTCCAAGATCTTTCGAGGACCTCTCAGCCCCTCTTTTAAACACACGGGCTCAGCGTCCTCGGTCATTAACAGGGAGCTCTAAACTCTTTGGCGGGAAGAGAGAGACATTGCCTGCTGAGAACCCTTACTCCCTTCTGTGGATGAGTGGATGGAGATGAGGCTGCAGGTAAAACCACCGGGTGGGTTGGCTGAGGTGAACAGGGGCAGAAAGAGGTCCTGCTTTTTTTTTTTTTTTTTGGTGGAGAGCCCTGCGTCTCCTTCTCTACGGAGAGATTCTGAGAGAGAAGAATGTAAGATCGATCCTTTTGCTTTCTGATGTGAAGGCGCGATGAATGAGACGTGAAAGACAAAGCACAGTCCTTTGGTGTGGCGGGGTGGTCAAGGACCGGAGGACCCAGGTAGGAGGGGACCAGGACCTTTGGGGTTTCCAAGAATTTGGAAACTTCCAGCCTCTCCATTCACATCCGCACGGAGAGGGAGAGGGAAATCTCTGTCCCGGGTTATTTATCTATCTGTGTATCTATGTATCTATGTGTATATGTATCTATCTATGGCTCTATGTATCTATCTATATCTATGTACCTATGCATCTATCTATGCATCTATCTAATGTATCTGTGTATGTATGTATGTATGTATGTATGTATGTATGTATGTATGTATGTATGTATGTATCTATCTATCTATCTATCTATCTATCTATCTATCTATCTATCTATCTATCTATCTATCTAACTGGCATCTAGCATCTGTCTATCATCACTGGCGCCGAATCCACCTGACCCACCAATCTCGAACTCCCTCTTCATCTATTCTCACTTTACAGACCTAGCCATTCTGGCCGCCCGATAGTCATAAGCTGACACGTCGACGCACGTAGCCAGGAGACCTCGTGGCGCAACGGTAGCGCGTCTGACTCCAGATCAGAAGGTTGCGTGTTCAAATCACGTCGGGGTCATGGCATGTGGTGGCACGTCTTTTCTTTTCCCTCCTCCCGCTTCTCACAACCCTTTCCCAGCTTTCCAGGGTAGGACTGGCAATCCATTTTTTTCCATCTTCCTCCGGGGCTGGACGCAGAGAGAATCCAGTCGCTGAGGGACTAGAAATGGGAGGAGAAGGGTGCCCGAATTCTTGCAATGGGCCGAGGACTGACCGAGTCAGAAGCATTAGAAAGTCCCCAAACTGGCTCTGGAGTCAGACTTTAGGGTTAAATACAACTTTGTGATCTTGGACAAAACATTTCGCCTCGATGGGCCTCAATTTCCTCATCTGCAAAATGGGTTGGCCTCTGAGGTCCTTTCTAGTTCTAGTTTCTGGTCCTACCACTGCCATAGGTGAGTAAATGGTGAAATGCCCTTATTTTTCTGCACTTTACCTTCCGGAGAGCACAGACTAGGAAAAGTTAGCGAATCAATGAATTGCTTCCTTTGTGTGTCTTTCCCAGCCCCCAGCCCGCCCCTCCCACCTTGACTGGACGCTATTCTAAGAAATACCCTTCCCATTTAACTCCTTCTCTGTCGAAATAGAGTCGGGCACCTCGGCTTTCAGAGAAATATGGCAATAACAGAAGAAAAACAGCACGCTCTAGAAAGGGCTTCTCAGACTCCAGACAGTAAAGATGACTTATTTGAGTTAGGGACGAGGTGGCCGAGTGGTTAAGGCGATGGACTGCTAATCCATTGTGCTATGCACGCGTGGGTTCGAATCCCATCCTCGTCGGCGGTGGTGGGGAACAGGCTGTATTTTTAAAAAGGTGAGTAATTGTAAGCAGTAGTTTTCACACCTCTCTCAGGCAGCGCAGGTCTCTTGTCTCGCGTTCCTCTTTGTCTTCGCGGCTATTCACTGAGCCTAGTTTCTTCACTAAACAAATATCTTGTCATAGTAGTCAACACTGACGATGTTCTAGATCCAAGAGGGGTCACAAAACTTTCACCAAAATGAGTGGCGCCGTGGCTTAGTTGGTTAAAGCGCCTGTCTAGTAAACAGGAGATCCTGGGTTCGAATCCCAGCGGTGCCTCGAAGACTTTCTTTTGTTCCACCCACATTTCTTTTTTCGATTGGAGGAATGAATCCAGGTATCTTTTCTGCTCGTCATCTACGCTCCCGCCCCCTCTGCCTGGCGAATTTCAGCCAAGGCATTCTTCAGAGAGGTTCTAGAAGACTGAAGGGGCAAGAGACTGAAGGGAGGGCCCTTTCTGGGGCGGGGTTCAGGAGCCTGAAAGGGATGGAGGGAACAAGAGAATGGAGTACCTTCTCCCTGTAGACTCGCAGGCGTCGAGGTTCCCGGCCCCATTTTATCCTTTCAGTCCTTCCCTAAATTCCAGTAATCTCCTTTTCCAAACTTGGGTCTTCCTCCTCCTCTTTCACTTTCGTCTGGAACCCAGGAGTTAGGATAAGCAGACCTTACTCTTCATCCTTAGTCCCACCCACTTTAGGGGGCCCATGAAGCCCAATTTTCCTACTTTGCAAAATCCCGGAGGATTTCAGGGCTCCTGAACTTTCTGTGAACGGATTAGCTTAGTTGGTTAGTGCATAGTCTGTAGGGTATTAGGTCTGGTTCCCAAAATGGGGAAGTTTTTGGCTTTTAATTTTGTCACCTTATTTAAATGCCTCCCTCCACTTTTTGTTGGGATGCATTCTTTATCTTCATTCAATGGTATGTATTCAAATCAAGATCCAAGCCCCTTGGGTCAGTTTAGCTCCTTTCTGAGGATAGCAGTGTTTCCCAGCTTCCTCCCAGGAGTAGGTGGACTCTCCAGAATGCCTCCAGGTGAGCTATGATAGGCATAGGATTCGCAGGATTGAAGGGAATTAAGATATCTGATGATGATAAAGCAGCTTTTGGATAGAAAGTCATGGAAAACTAAGCCTCATTTACTGCGTGAGGTTGAGGTGTTTAGCCCTCCCAACACTTGCCTCTCTTGGATCCAGGTGTTCAATCCCCCATTATAGAACTACAGTGACTCCGTCCCTATCGCCTGGGGCAGGTGTGTTCATCTCTAATTTTCTCTTGTTCTCTTTGTCCTATTTCCCCCCATCACAGAAACCCACATTTTACTCCTCCCACAACACCCTACAGAGATACAGTTTCATTGTTAACAGGAGCAGCATTTTAATTCCACACAACTCAGAAAGTCAAAAATGTTGGCTCATAGGCCAAGATCATTAAACTCCATAACAGGTTCAAAACTATCAACAATTCTCGTATAAATCCTAGCAGGAATAAACCTAGCTCTTACTCCCTGCAGGAACCTAAACATTCAGGACTTAGTACAGTAAGCTCCTTCTCTCTTCACTCTTGTTGGAAGTACACCTTATATGAGTGAAGACAAAGTTTTGGGAGACAGTGGAAAGACTGGGGCATTCTTTGCCATTAATACAAGTTCATCCGAAGACACTAGTTTCACCAGCTGTCTGTCAGCCCCTACAGTAGGTGCCACAATATGGTGGTCACAGCTGGGAGTTGTCCCTTTTTTGTCCCCTCTCATGGCCACATCTTTTTACCTTCAAACCTGGTTCCTGGGTGGATGGTGCCTCAGCTAGGGATTTAGTAGGAGCAGCACTTAGGGACAGGACAGGATAGGACAGGGCAGGGCAGGACTAACCTACCACTCTTAAAAGGACTAGGTCTCATATGGAAGACACTCCCTCCCCAACATACAAGAAAGCTTCCCAGCACATATTGTAAGACGCTCTTATCCGCACAACCAAGAAATCTCATAGAATGGGAAAGAGGATCACTGGACACATGTGAGAAGGAGTGGTTTCTCTTCTTTTCCTCGGCAATAGTCATCTTCTCCCTAAGGGTTTGAGGTTGGGGGGAGGGGTGTACAGGAGACTGGAGACAGGACCCTGGTGGTCTCCTCCCACCATCATACACACCAAACCACCCCTTCCCTGAGTGTGGAGGCACTCCCAAGCCTCTCCAGTCTATCACTTGCAGAGAGCCTCCAGCACTTCCAGGGTGCGGCGGATGTCCCGGACTTGTCGGGCCAGTCCCTGGACTGGCTGCAGGGCCCGCTCCAGCTCCTCGCACCGGGCCAGCAGCGTGTACATGCCCTTGATGCTCATGTCCACCGCCTCTCCCAGAGAGTCCACAGCGTCTCGATAGGTCTGGATGCAACCCACGCTCAGCGCCGTCAGCTCCTGCACCGCGCCGCCGAGCCCGCGAAGCAGCCGTTCCACGCGGGCACCCAGCTCCCGGCTCAGCCGCTCCAGGTCCCGCAGCACCTCCGGATCGATGGGCGGGATGGACGGCGCGGGGACCGGGGCTGGCCGGGCCGAGGGCGGGGGCTGCGGCTGCGGGTTCCCGCTCAGGCGGATCTTGAGCTGCAGATTGTTAGCCACGAAGTGGGTGAGGTCTCCATGCCGGCTGACCGTGCCCTCCAGCTCGAGAGCGCTGGAGATGGTGGCCCGGCGGCCCCCGCTGGCCCCCTGCTCCTGGCCGCCAAGCGGAGCCGCCACGCTGCCGCACGCTCCGCTCAGCCCATCCAGGCTGCGGCTGTCCTGAAGGCGGCTGGGGAACGGGCGGCCCCCCTTCTCGGGCTCGCGCTCCTCCTCTTCCTCCTCCTCCTCCGGGTTCATCCGGCTGTTTCTCGGGGCGCGCCGGGGGGCACCGCCTCCCGGCTTCGGCTTCGTCGCTTGGGGAACAGAGACAGGTCGGCCCAAGGGCCGAGGGCTCTTCCGAGCTGGCCCACAAGGGCCCCAGGCGACCCTGGCTCCGGGTGGAGTTCCACAGGGCCCGGGTGTTTCATAGGCTGGCAGGCTCGGAGTCTTCCGGGTCCCTCCCAGCTGGGCGCGCCCGCCCACTCCTGGCTCCTCCTCAGAGACCTCACCAGATCCGAGGCCCGGGGGCGGACGAGAGGGCTGCTTTTCGGGTCTAGGTCCGAGAGGAGAGTTCCGGGAGCACCCGGAAAGCGGGGTTCTGGACTCCAACCCAGGCTGCCCAGGGGCAGGCTCCATGATGAGCCCGACGGGAGGGGCCAGGCTCCACCAGAGCCTATGAAATTGCTCTTCCGGCTGACTAGGCGCTACAATAGGCTGTGCCTTTTAGAGGCGGGAGCGTGGGCGTGCCTATTGGGAAGGGATGACAATAGTAAGGGCACACTGATTGGGTACAGGGGAAAAGATTCCAAGAAGAGGCGGAGTTGATTGGGCAATGTCGTGCACGTGGACGTTAGACGCTAAGCGGCGGAGCGAGGAGTGGGCCCGGGGCTTCCCGGGAGGAGCAACCTCCTAACCCTTGGCTATGATTTAAAGAAAGCCGGTGTTTTCAAAGATCGCTAACCCCACGTTCCGCTGAACTGCAAGGCTTCCCCCACTTCTGTCCCGAATCCTCTCAGGAACCCTGGCTTCCAGACCTTCCGCTTCTCTTCCCTGGTTCATCTAGGTGTTTAGTAGGCAACCCGCGACATTGCACAATGTGATGCAAAGAATCCCAACTGGGGGATGCAGGGAGTGTGCACTTTTTGGAGAAAGGCCAGGGGAGTTTCGGAAACAAAGTGAAAAAAGTCAGAAATTTACTACTAGAAGATGATTTACCACGCACGAGCTCTTTTATAACTTGGTCAGCCTAGGTTCCTTAAGAACGCCTTCCCAACCTCAGCGTCGATGGGAAAGGCTTTTTGGTGTGCATCTAGGGTGACTCAGCTGTCAGCCTGCCGCCGTAGCATCCTACCTTTATCTCCTCCCAACTCCCTGATCAGTCCCCTCCATCCTACTTCATTTTGCCTCTGACAATGCAACACTCTCTTCTCTATCTCAGTGTTTGTCTGGCACGTCCCTAATCTGTCTACGGTTATCTCACTGATGATTTTATAAGGCTGCTTCCAACTCTAAATCTTATTTATTGTAACCCTTGTTTCCAATAGAACTCCTACAGAGGCTGTAGAAACCGGAGCTCTAAGACCTAAGGAGGTGGAGAAAGGCAGTTTTGAATTCAGTTTGTAAAGTCATTTGAGAAAATTGCTTAATATGATGTCCATATGGAATCAGGGAGAAGGTGTGTGTTTCATCCCTCTCATCCACGAGGATCTATGAAAAGCAGTTTTGAATTGAGTTTTTAAAAGTCAGTTGAGAAAGTAGTTTGACGTGAAGTATGGAGTTAGGGAGGTGCATATGTTTTACCTGTGATCAATAAGAATATATGAAGAGGGTGAGGAGAAATCTTCCTTGAGGGAACTATTTTAATTGTGGTGATACAAACACACACACACACACACACACACACACTTTATAAAGCAAATTCTGTGTAAAGTCTGAGGAACTTAGGTACAGTGAATTTTGGAAGTACTGTGAGGACTGAAGAGAAGACAAGGACAAAGGACCAATCTCTCAAAGAAATACAAAGATGCTTTAAGAAACTTTATTCATTATCTGAAATCTGATGAATGACTTGAGACTGCTTTTCCAGACCAATGAAGGAAAGTCAGTTACTGATATTTTGAGGCCTATGGCATTGGTCATAACCAAAACAGTGTATGTAAATATTTTAAAGCATATTACTTTTATTATTGATTCTATTTGTTTATATATACAGTAATTTTAATATTTATTGAATTATAAAAATAAGAATATTTACTACTTGGAAAGGAAGTTTCTCTAGTTCATTAAACAGTCAATATTTGATGAACTGGAGTCAAGGTTTGAACTATTATCTAATGAGGAGGAGATAATAGTTAATGTTTATATAGTATATATTATACAATGTGCCAGGCTTTTTACAATTATTTTCATTTGATCACAACAACTCTGGGAGGTAGGTGCTGTTATTATCCCCATTTTACAGATGAGGAAACTGAGGCAAACAAGAGGTTAAGTGACTTGCCTAGGGTTACACAGCTAGTAAGTATTTGAGGTCAAACTTGAACTCAGATCTGCCTGATTCCAGTCCCAGCAGCTCTATCCAGGTTGCCACTTAGCTGCCCCTAAGAGATTGCAAGTTTATTAATGAGAAATAAATTATCTTAACATACTCCGAGACCAACCATTTTCAAAATTCAGCTTTCAAGGTTAAAACTGCTTTCATAATAATCCTAAGACATTATTGGCCTCTTTTTTTTCCGCTCTCGTTCTGTCAGTAGTACACATTGGTGTTGTCCAAAGGCTATATGTTATATATACTTATATATATTTCTCTATACCTGATTCTTTTTTATTTAATTTAACATTTTTTGGTTAATTTTAAGCTCCAAGCTGTCTCCCTTCATCCCTCCCAACCCTGCACAAGAGAAGACCACCATTTTACATAGATAGATAGATATGGATATTTTATATGCATATATACACAAATATGTATAGATATGTATATTAAAACCATGTTATGCATACTTCTATTTATTAGTTCTTTCTTTGGAGGTGGATAGCATCTTTCTTCATAGGTCCTTTGTAGTTGATTTAAGTATTTGCAATACTCAGAATAGCTTGGTCGTTCAGTGTCTTTAAACAGTATTGCTGTTACTGTATACGATGTTCTCTTGGTTTTGCTTATTTTACTCTTCATTATTTCATGCAAATCTTTCCATGTTTTCCTAAAATAAACCTGCTCATCATTTCTTACAGCACAGTAGTACTCTATTACAATTATATGTCACAATTTGTTTAGCCAGTCCCCAATTGACCGACATCCCCTCAATTTCCAGTTCTTTGCCACCACAAAAAGAACTGCTCTAAATATTTTTAGAACCTGTAGGTTCTTTCCTTTTTCCTTGATCACTTTAGGAAATAGACCTAATAATGGTATTGCTAGGTCAAAGAGTATACACAGTTTTACAACTCTTTGGGCATAATTCCAGATTGCTCTCCAAAATGGTTAGTTGGATCAGTTCACAATTCCACTAACAGTGTATTAGTGTCCCAATTTTTCCACACCCTGGCCAACATTTGTCATTTTCCTCTTTTATTGTTTTAGCCATTCTGTTAGGTGTCAAATGATCTCTCAAAGTTGTTTTAATCTACATTCCTCTAATCAATCATGATTTAAAGCATTTTTTCATGTAACTATGTATAACTTTGATTTCTTCATCCCAAAACTGCCTATTCATATCATTTGACCATTTATCAATTGGGGAATGACTCATTCTTATAAATTTGACAAAATTCTCTATAAAATATTTGAGATATGAGACCTTTATCTGAGAAACTGTCTATAAAATTTTTCCAAAATTTTCTGCTCTCCTAATTTTGGCTACATTGGTTTTATTTGTACAAAACCTTTTTAATTTAATGTAATCAAAATTATCCATCTTACATCTCACAATGCCCTCTATCTCTTGTTTTCTTCATAAATTCTCCTATCCATAAGTCTGATAGTTCATATGTTCCATGTTCTTCTAATTTACTTGTGATATCTCCCTTTCTATCTAGGCCACGTATCTATTTTGACCTTATCTTGGTAAATGGTGTACAATAGTGTTCTATACTCAATTTCTGCCAGACTGCTCTCCAGTTTTCCCAACGATTTTTACCAAATAGTGAATTCTTATCCCAAAAGGTTAAACCTTTACATTTGTCAAATTCAAGGTTACTATAATAATTTAGAACTGAATATTATATGCATATAATATATGTAAATATATGTATTTCCTATCTCAAAAGCCTGTTTTACTGGGGCTGTAAGAACTATTACTTTCTCCTTAAGAACATAGCCACCAAGAATTACAGTGCTAACTGTCATTAGATAAGGTTCTTCTCCCCAGAAGTTTGGTGTGTTTCTATCTTTGATCTGTGAGGATCTATGAGATTAAACTATGGAGAGGGTAGAAAATAGAAAGTAAGGTGAAATTTCTTTCCTGTAAGAACTTTTTTAATAGTGTATCAAAATTTAGAGTTGACCACAGTCACTTGCAGGTCACCCCTTGGCCTACTACTTGATTTGTTTCCATGTTTAATCTTTATCAATTGATGTTCTAGGACAATCTAGGAATATTTCTGCATATTTTCTTATTTAATAACAAAATTACGACTTCAACCAGAGCCCCAACACCAGTTTAATAAACTGGAGAAACCTCCTTTCTCAAAAGCAACTATTTGTCTCTATATATTAGATCCCTTAATTTTAATGACACAGCACATGGAGAACTGGACCTGGAATCAGGAGGACATATTTCAAATCTAGCCACAGACACTAACTATATGACCCTGGGCAAGTCACTTAACCTCTATCTTCTTCAGTTTCCTTCTAGTATTATTGTTACCCCCAGTAAAATGAGAGTAATAATAGCAGCTATCCCCCAGGGCTGTGAGAATGAGTTAATATTTGTAAAGCATGTCGCATATATAAAGCAAATTAATATATAAATGCTAGTTATTATTGTTAGCTATTAAATTAATATTAATAGTGAAAATACTAGACATGCAGTTTATTAATAAATGAAATCTAGAATATGTATACATATTTGTTCACAATATTTTAGCTATGAGAAAAATCACAGCCAGCATCACCTCAAACTTTCAGTGTAACAGCTGATAACTTCCTTTTCCCTTGTGCTCTAGAAACACATTTACCATTCATATCACTCCACATACTGATTAAAAGTGTCTCAAAAATTCTCTTCATATTTCTTCTTAAGATAAGAAAGCTAATTCCTCACAGATTTCATATATTTCTTTTTTTTTTACAAAGTTTCTGGGGAAAAACAGTTGATAGTTCTCAGAAGAAAGAAGCCTCACCTCCACAATTTATGTCACAAGTCCTCATAGATCCAAATTAATTAGTACTCTTCTTGATTCCAGAATGCAAAACACCTCATAAAGTGATATTTTTCAAGTGTAAATCCAAACTGTCTTTCTCATGACATTCTGTTTGGCTCTTAAAGATATAATAACTATTGTGACAAAAATTGTTCAGGGATTCATTGATTAGGTATTGTTGCCAATTATACAATCAATGATGCAAAGATGGGGAGAAAACCCAACTGAGTTTATTATACTCAGAGTGCAGGAATCCATGAATCAGAGAGCCCAGAACATCAGTTTCAGCGATTTATATAAGTTTTAGTTTCATAAGCAGGATAGGTACAGTGAAATTTTAGGGAAAGCAGAAGGGGGAGGTAATGGTTTATGCATCAAAGGACAGATGGGAGAAAGGAAAGATCTATATCAGGCAAGATAGGAAACCAGTGGGTTAATGTCAGAATTGTAACTGATATCTCAAGCTTGAATTTGCTGATGGATATAATAGGAAATAATTGGTTAACACCAAGGCCATAGTTGTCTTAGCTTGATTTTGCAGACTCTACACAGTCATATGATATGCTCATCTTAAGTAAATTAGGGTAAGAAAATTAAACCAGAAATTATTTTAAGACACTATTTAAAGCCTTTGTAGGAGTCAGTTAAGAACATCAAATCTGCATTAATAGTAAATACAATACACATAATGACATTATTAACCACATTTGACAGTGCTTTAAGCAATGAGAGAATACAATAGTATCAATAGTAATAATAAAAGTTAAATAGAATAAAAATAGGTATAGTAGTAACAGATCAATAGAATACAGAACCATGTATAACATTGCATTTGAGATTCAAAAAGTACATAGTAACAACAGAAATAATTCATTAACAGGAATAACATCTGGCTACATGAGTAACTATTTCTCCAGTTTTCCCTGGGACATCATTGTATCATTGTTGCTGGTCAAATAGACCTAGTTTTCCTATGGCCTATTGACCTGTATGCCTCTATCACTGAGCTTCTTGATGGTAACGGCCATCATAATTCTCATTAGACTTATAGCCCTGTCTTCTTAAACCTGAACTTGTAGATAGTCCAGGCTAGCCAGCAGTGTTATTTCTGTTACTCTGTGGAATATGACTATACCTTAAGAATACAGCTGTGAAATAGGAGGTAAGTAAGATTTAATCTTTCTACTACCACCACCTTCTTGTTTGAACTAAGGTAATCATTTTCATCCCTAAACAAAATTACTGGGTTTCTATGCATAATCCTAATTAACTTCCAGAAGCACCTTGCTGACTGGGAAATCTGCTAGTTTGCCTTGAGCAACAGCTTTCTCTGAGGCAATTAATTTTTCTCATGACTGCTGCTGATATAATTATAGCCAACTACTCCATGGTTGTAATAGAAAATTCCTGGTACTCTGATCACATCTTTATGGTGTTATTTTTTTTTCTTTCTTTGGCAGGTAGGGTTAAGTGACTTGCCCAGGGTCACACAGCTAGTAAGTGTCAAGTGTTTGGTCTGAGGCTGGATTTGAACTCAGGTCCTCCTGATTTCAAGGTCAGAGTTCTATCCACTGTGCCACCTAGCTGCCATGATGGTGTTATTCTTATATCAAATTGTATTCATCTAACTGATGATGAGTTAATTCTTACTGTTTTCAGGGTCTAGGGAAATCTTCAGTGGCTCTATCTTTGTTTCCAAATGTTGATTCTTCAGATCTCAGTGTCCATAGTTTCATTTTCTTTGTGAGAGCATTCAATCTGTACGTGACTATCTACTCTGCAATTGTGGCAAAAGTAGTTTTGGTTTTCTGATGATCTTCTAATATGGTTTTAGTTGTTTTGTTTGTTTGTTTTTTGGCATCCCGTATTTATGGTTTCCAGTTCCATTTCTATTCCCATTCCAGGTAGAATATTTTTCCTACTGCTCCTTCTTTCAACATAGTATAAACTTTTGTCTTTGAATCTGTGATTCTGACCTGTTTGCATATAGGGCTTTCCAATAGGAATCCTTCTTAGCAGTTTGTGATTACTTTTCATTACATGAAATGTTTCTAACAACTCTTCAAAATCTGGTGTATTCTGTAGAAGTCCTTGATTGCCTAACTGTGACAGTGTAGAATTGGAAAGAACCTAGCCCCCAAAAAGAAAGACACATTATACAGAGTCTCAAAGGATCAGCCTTTAGGCTTGTGGGGTGCCTAATGTCTGCCAAGCCTGAAATCACATCTCATGATCCGGAGTTCTAGTGTAATCCAAGGGCACATTTGGATTTTTAAAAATTTAATAATAAAACTCATTAACTAATAAGCTTCAGCCCCTACCTGTGTTCTTAGAAGTGAAAAGAAGTAATCTGCTATTATAGTAAAGGGATTCAAAGTGACTCTAGTTTTGGTCATCATCATAGTTAAAATATTACAAATAATTGTGAACGTCTTTGTTTCATCATTGATTTCATTACTAATGTTGTGAGGGCTGTCTCACACACATAATATGAGGGTGTCATGGTATGACTTAAAGTGAAGCAAAATAGACATCTTTAGCCTCCTCTCCTACCCTTCTTCAAGAGAGACTTTATTTCCTGCCAGGAGGGGAAGCAGGAGGAGAAGAGGAAGGTCAGAGGCCACCAATCTTCTCTGTGAAGAGAGAGTGAGTACCAGACTACAATTATATCTATACACTTTCTTAAATATTATTAATAGAGGATATTATTTATAGATTCAAGTTAACTTATCACTGTTTCATTATTTGGGAGGAAGGAGGAAGTCAAGTTTTATATCCAAGGCTTGACCCCCTTCCCTTAAATACCAATTCCACAACGAACACACATAGCAATTATCAAAGAAACCCATTTATCCAATTCGATAGCAGAACAGAAGCCAGAGAAAGTATGCATATGAGAATATACAACAGATGATACAGAGTGAAGGAGCTTTCCCAATGGGAGTGAGACAATCCAGCTCAACAGAGAAAAAGAGAGAGAGAGAGAGAGAGAGAGAGAGAGAGAGAGAGAGAGAGAGAGAGAGAGAGAGAGAGAGAGAGAGTCCTAGATCTCACCCAAGGGGAAGTTCCTTGAAGTCTCCAGCAAGGTTGGGATAGGGACATGATAAAGACTGGCAACTGCTCTTTTGTTGGTTTTTTCCCAGTGTCTTTTTCTTTAGCAACCTGAAATAGAGTTGGTGTCTTCCATCTTCTTTCTTAAAGATGGAAGACAGAAGCACCCCAAGTGACTGCAGAACTTGAAGAGACTCTCAAACTCTAAGAGAGTTCCAAGAAAACTAAGAGCTCTCCTCTCTCCTATTCTCATCAATTCTACCCTGACCCAGATGTAGGCCTTGATCTCTACCAATAAGAAGAGAGTCCCATACTAATGGGTTTGGGGGCTGGAGTTATACTGATATTACCTATTCAGTAAATTCAACATTTAATCCTAGGAGATAAAGGGATTTAATATATAGTGAGATATGAATGCTGCCACTACTGGGGAAAGTGTCTTTGGTTTATTAAATAAATAATATTTGATGGCAGCTCAGTTTAGTTTATTGAGAAACATATTGAAGTTATATTAATGTTAATTTTAATTCTATTTATTTTTAATAAGGAAATATAAAAGCAAATACTTGGATTATATTAGATCTTGAGATGTTAGATTAAGTGTGGGAGTGAGTCAAGGAGCAACCTGAAGTGTGACCTCTAAGTGACGTAATCATGTTATATGATAGAGGTTGTCCTTCCTATTCTCAGTACTGGTATGTCCCTAGGTTGAAAGGCCTGGGATCAACCAATCTCAAATCCTCATTGTAATAGTAGATGCCTTTACTCCTGAAAACACAGTCTCATACCATTTAGTTTATTTAGGATACCAAATAAATTCTCTTCACAAAAATCTTTGTCATTGTCTTCTCAAGATAAAAATTACATTAATTTTATAAGGAAAGAGAATATCTCTATCTCTCTCTTCTCATGTTTATCTCAAGACATGTCAGGAAAATACTCAGTTCTCTCAAGGCTTCACTTTGAAAAATTAAGTATGTTTTTCAATGGTCAAACATTTATTTTTTCTCCCTCTCCTATCTCCTATAATGGGGGGGGGGAGAAAAGAAAAGAAAGCCCCTGTGATAAATATAGTCCAGCAAAATAATGTCCAAAAATGTGTCTCATTCTGTATCTTCTCTGTTAGGAGGTGAGGAACCTTCACCGTCAGTCATTTGTAGTAGTGATTATGAAGAGATAAAGACAGAGAGACAGAATGAGAGACAGACGCAGAGTGAGAGAGGGAAAAAGACATAAAGAGAATGTGAGGGTAGATTAATAAAGTATTTAAGCATTTACTATGTGTCAGGCACTGTGCTAAGGCCTGAGGATATAAAACAATAAAAAAACACAAAACAATATGGTCCATACTTTCAAGGACCTTACATTCTAATGAGAGAATGCTGTACATAAAGGGGAGAGTTCAGGGAGAGAGAGGATAGAAGAGAATATCCAAACTAGGCCAGACAGCTAGTGTGTCACTAGGGCAGACCAGCATGGGAAGGAAATGGGCAGCATGGCTGAAACTTCTGATGATGTGGCTATTCTGAGCAAGGACACGCTAATCATCTAGTCATCACCAGGGTAGAGTCACCCTCAGCAGGCAAGGCAGATGATGTGTAAGTGGCACAGACTGGAGGATGAGCTGGGAAGAAAGAGTTAAAATGAACCAGAAACAGAGAAGGGTAGGAGCCAGATGTGACTGCTCCCAGTGCAGAACACAACACAGAGCTTTATGTCGGGGTCCTCTGGAATTTTTTGTTTTTTTCCTTAATGGATATTACCTTTTTCATGATGAACTAACTGTACTTCATAGAGCTATACATTCAAAGGGCCTGTCATTGCTACATTTGCTAAGATGGTGTTTATATGCATGAGTGGATTTAGTGGATGTTGTTTGCCTACTAATATGCTAATTGTTAGTATATGTAACCTATGGTAGGACCTTCAAATGATTCTGTGCATGTCACTTGCCTATGCCGTTCATTCGTATACTTGTCTTACTCTTTTGTTTTCTGCATGTTAATTACATACAACTCTTGCTTCATTTTTGTTATTGTATAATGCTGTATATGTGATTAGCATTACTGGTTTGTGGAGTATAATATTAATTTTATGATTACTTGAAAATAAAAGAGACTGGTTTATTTGCCCTGTTAGTATTGTGATAGAGGCCTACAACTGAGTGGAGCCGGAAATAATGACATTTTAAGATCATTAAAAATAGCTGGAAAAGAATTGAGGGGAGATGTATAATGATTTATGGGAGAATCAGACCAGGAAAAACCATTTAGTTTGTGAATGACCAGATTCTGTTAATCATTCAGAAATTCCTGATACAGTAACAATCAGAGATAGCACCTAGAAATATATCTCCAGACCTTCCTTCCTCAAGGATGAGAAGTTAATTAGAAAACAGGAAGCCTTAATGGACAGGGAAGGCTTGCCAACAGAAAAAAAAAACCAAAACAAAACCAAGAATCACACCTAAATCAGGAAAAGATGTCTCACCTCCTGGTTAGTGCAGAATGTAGATTTCCTATATCCAAAAATATCCTGGTTCTCAGTTAGGGATTCTCTCAGGACAGGACTCTTCCTCCTGGGGAAGAACCAGAAAAAGTTTGGGCTGAGTGTGACAGAAGTGTTAAAGGACTGGCAAGTATCTGAGCTAGAGCAAATGTGTAATTTGGTAGAAAGTATTAAAGACCTACTTTAAATTTGTGCTGTTTCTAAGAGTAGAAAAAATTGAAATTATGTGCTTGAAAAGGGGAGAGTAGAAAAATGGACCTAGCCTAAACACTGATGTAATACCAGTTTTAATAATCTCTTTCTCTCCATGCAATTTTTTTTCAAAAAAGTTTGTTGATATCTTTTGTTTTTACATTACCTACATTTTTCAATGTGTTCCTCACTCCCTTCCAGACAGTAATCCCTTATATCAAAAGTTTAAAAATATTTAAATCTAACAAAATTACTCAATATATTGAAAGAGGGTGACATTATATGCAGTGTTACACATCCATAGTCCCGTAATTCTGCAAAGAAATGGGAGGCGGTGATTTCTTATATCTCTTCTTTGGGACCAATCTTGACCACTATAATTATACAGCATTTAATTTTAATTATTTTGTA